GTTTTGGGAGGGGAGGATCTAGGGATGAGCGCTGGAGGGGAAGGAGAAGGGTATCAAAATTTTGCTTAATTTTTGTCTGCCCCAAGGAGTGGCGAGCGGAAGGAGGGCAGAGGGTAGCACCACAGCTTCTATCCATTAGACGGGAGGGCAGGAGGAAGGAGCCACAGAGCCACAGAGCCGCTTGGACCGCTTCACGGAAATCTTGTTAAATTTCGCTTGATTGAATTTGCTTGCATTTTGCGGCCGCAACGGAGCGGCGTTTCTCTCTTGAAATCTTCCTTCTTTTACTTTTTATTCCTTTTTTTAGTTGTATATATTTTATATTCTTTTTATAGGTATATTCTTGTATTTGTTGTCAATGTTCGACCACACGCAGAATGAAATTCACACACTAAATAAATATGCAAAAGAAATGTAATGTTCCTCATGTACTTAACATGAAAATTGAAATGGAAACTATTTATTTTTATCCACATTTCTATGTAATAATCTCCTGCTCTTTTTTTTTGTATATTTCCCCCTTTGCTTCCTTCTGCATGTGTTTCTCTTTCCTTCTTTCTGTATATGTACCTCTCTCTTTCTATTTCTTTAGCTCTTTAACCACAGAATTTATGGCAAGGAAATGAAACAAAAACAAGAAAAGGAAGTGGCTTGAAATAAATCGAATGAGGGATTCCCTAACTCCAGATTTATAGCTATGGGAGCTGAACATAGGAGGGAATTAAATGGTTCTAGTTTAAAACATGAAAACAAAATGGGAATCCAGCAGTCGAATAAAATATTTTAAGATTTCTCTAATAATATTTTTTATCCACTATAATCTGCCCTATCCTCCTGCCTATTAGCCCACATTTTAGGAAGAGAAGTATCAGCGTGTTAGGAGCGCTCTCGGAGGAAGCTGTGGCGGCAAAAGATGGTTGTTGCAGCAGTGGCAGTGGCAATGGCAGTTGCTACCTGGGTGGAGTTCCATGCGAAACCCACTGGGCGCACTGGCACTGGTAATGGTAATGGTAATGGGGGAAAAAACCGCAGAAAATTGCTATACATCTGCAGAGGAAAAGCCAGAGTTAAAGCATAAGCCAAAGCCATCGTGTAGATGAAAACTGGCTTTTTCCACACAATGAGATTTATTTATCGTGATTGTGCGCTTAATTGAAAATTGTTTGCGACCGAACGGAGAGAGCATGTGATATGGGGGGCAGAAGAGCGCAACAGGAGAGACGACGAAACGACTCCTGGCTTCCGTTCTGCAGGGTCTCCCGGTCCCATATATCACCGTGAACCCATCTTGGGTCTCCATCCTGACTAACGGTATTCCTAACACACATCTATTGACATACATTTTAGGGTCTGACTGTACTTTGCTCTACCCGTTTGCAGCCTGCTCCTCCCCGCGTTTTTTCCCCCAAAAACAATTTGTCAACGACATGAGGCAATGATATAGCAGGAAAATAGCCAGGAAAACTGTAGCCACTGTTCCGAGGGAAAATGAAAATGTCAGCAGCATCAGGCTCCCACAGCAACAGCAACAGCAACAACAATATCGCAATAGCTAAGTGGATACCAAGAGAGAGACAGAGAGGGAAGGAGAGCACACTCGATGGAAGGAATGGAATGGAATCCATCAACCGCCCATGGAGTCCATCGCATTGGCATCCAACTGGCATCGGGCGAAACCAACGAAACCTTTTCAATCACATTACCCGATGGAATGCGACCCCAAGAGTGCCGCTGTATACTTATTATGGCATGGTATATGGCCTCTAACTAGCATCTAGGGGGGTTACTAAGTAACTCCCTGCTTAGCAGCTCTTTTTGAATGGCAGAGAACTCCTCTCTTTCGGTGGGAGAAACTTGTTGGAAAGTGTATGTTTTATGTTGGAATTTAATGGGGAGCAAGAAAGGAGAAACACTTTAAGGTTTATCTAGAGTCTGATCGCAGAAAATTAGGATCGTTTGGTTCCAATGTATCCGTTCGCTTAGGGGAACATTTCTTCAGCGAATCAACGTCATTCACTTCAATAGACATACGTGGAAATAAGTGAATTAGGGGTAAAGGGGCACTATTTGATCTATTTAAAATCCGATAAATCAGCAGATAGTTCCGTAGTTACAAAGGTGAACTCTTTTCTATCCCCCATTCGGCTTTCAAAGCATTTAAATAGTTTGATTTTGATCTCTGCTGAAATCTTAAATTTCCTCCTAAAATAAATAAACTCTTCGCATTTGTAAAATCCCCCGAAAAGCCCCTGCATGTGTGTTTTGCAGTCACCGTCACCGCCGCAATGGCGAATCAACGGCACTGACAGCCGCCCCCTCCCACACGCATGTCCTTATTGAGATCCGTACCGCGTGTAATCCTCCAGCATTATTTCGTTCTGTGTGGCACACGCTCCACTCCTCTCTGTGGGCGGTCTCGGGCGGAAAATTCCATCAGCTACAAGAATAGAAAGTACTTTACAGGATAAGCGCCCCGTGGCATCCTTGACAAGCCGCGCACCCCACCCCTCCCCAACCGCTCTGTACCAATCCCCCCCGTTGTTGTTGAATGCTATATTTGTGGAATAGATGCGTATATTGTACGTAATGCACCTCCCCCTACTAGTTAGCAATACCCAATCCCCACCCCGCACATGCGAATTTATATCGTATGCGTATTTTGCCTCTGTTTTTGACTTGTTGCACGTTGTCTACAGTTGATTGTGCGGGGCACAACAACAGGGAAATTAATTTGCAGCTTCTTCCACTCGAAATTTCACACAATTAGAGCCAAGAAATCAGGTTGATGGGGGCAGGCAGGCCATCAGCGGAATCCTTCGCATAAAGAGCGGTCAGGAAAATACACAAAAGTTTATGGGCGAGGGCGTGCCCCACAAGCTGGTAGTTGAAAGGAGAGCCATAAAAACCGAAAGAACTCAGAGGAGGCCAGAGGAGCCCGCTGCACAGTGGTTTGCAGAACTGAAAACCCATTGCAAATATTGTGGAAAGAGAGGCCTGAAAATACGTGGATTCCCTGCTACTTATTCCCTGCTTAATTCCCTTCAAATGATTTTTCATCCTAAATTTCATACCCTTCCATACAGCTCCTGCTCCACTGTGTGTCTCTCTCTCTGCCACTCGTGAAGAGAATGGAGCAATGAAGAGTGTGAATTTTATGAGCTCTCCTGAAAGTTAAATGGTTTCCCCAATTTAATGACGAATGCAACACGTCGCAGAGGAAGGGGAACCCTCAGGGATAAGTATTGTGTATTGACCGTTACAAAAACGTGTAAATAAAACCCAGAATATTCATACCTTTCCGCATCCCCTATGTACCCACCCCCCGTTCCATTGCAGGGTGTCGTCTGTCTGCTGCTTGCGTCAATTACTTAATTTTAATGGCCTTTATTATGCCACAAGCACAAATACGCGAATTGCACAAACACTCTGCCACACATGAATGTGCCACACCGAGATTGGAAAGTGTAAAACGCTTCCATTTACAAGCTCATAAACAGAGTCGCCGCTGCATCGTTGTGGGCCATTAAAAAACAGTCATCCAAACTCAAGTTGCACGCCCAAGACGGGGGAGTATTGTACGGGGAGTAAGGGTAAGGGCCAAGAATGTGCTAAGAAAATATTTAAGCAAGAGATCTAGTGATTCTGTTAAGCCGCAGTATGTTAAGATTCGCCTAGGCCACAGCCACAGTCCAAGTAAAGTTTAGCAGAGCAGAATAACGGATTTCCTCTTCTTCCATGTGTGTACAGTGAACACTCTCTTCTGTCGATCGCCCCCCTCTCTGAGTACGCTTTCCCTGGTTCCTCATGTTCTTACTGTAAAACCAAGGTACATTGATTCAATGTGGTCTATTTTGTTCTCTCTCTCTCTCTCCATGTACGAATTACAGAACGAAATTACTGAGAAATTACAATGTTGCTTCCTTCTCCCACCACTTGTATGAATTACACCTTGAGCCAAGCTTCGTACTCTACAAAAGAGAGAGAGAGAGAGAGTATTTAACTAATCAGAATTCCAAATGCCCTGCCAATTGGCACTTCCCTTATACGCTCCGTCTCCAACCTCCCCCTCACTCATCCAAAAGAAATCACAATTAAACAAACCTTAAACATACCTTTTAATTCATTCAAAATCGAAGCTCTCCGCTGCTAAATTTTTTGGGAGGTGTTTTTAGGGTCTCTTTTGCCGAACGTCGTCTTGTGATTACACACACACACCGCCATACAAATGCATGTTTGTATGTCTATTCCACTTGTTGCCAACTGCGCGTTTTTGTTGCTGGAATCTCGAGTGTCAATGCGTGTATGCATGTGTGTGTTGTGTGTGTGTGGTTGTGTGTGCGTGCGTCTGTGAAGTGGTTTTTTCTTTTTTGTTTATAACGGCGTCTGCCAGTGCAACAAACAAACAAAAGACGAAGGCGACGACAGCAAACGACGTCAACGCAGGTGTCGCAGACTTGTGTCGTTTAGAAGGGGTGCGGGGCGGGGGCTGCGAATTATTACAGCGCGACAAACATGACGTGAAACACAAGAGTTGGGGAGCGGGTGGGGGACAAACGCGAGAGAGAGACACACACACACTCACGCACAATAACGTACGAACCGTAAGAAACAGTTTAACGTAGTAAACATTTGCAATTGTTTAACGAAACAATTAAACGATGAAACACACTTTAACGCTGCTCGAATCAAGCACAAAATGTCGCGAAACTAACACCAAACCGAACGGGGACAATTATGCACGGGATATTGTTTAATAAACACACAAAAATTAACATTTTTAGTTTCTGTACAAAAAAGCGCAGGTCGCGTTCAGTGTGACCGCGGACTTACCGATCAAAAATACCGTCTGACCCTCAGAAATATACCGCAAATATATTGAGAATTTAACGAAGTTATGCGCTCTATTTAAACACCGCAGAGGGAGATTTGTAGAATAAATTTAAGTTAACTAAACATAAAAATCAAAGCTTAAAGCCTAGTACTCAGTTCAAACATATTTCGATAGCAAAATGTGCCATATATATTGCTGCGACCGAGTGTGACCTACGCTGACACTCTGCTCAGTCAGCTGCCGGCTGGTATTTTTTATTGTTATCGGCGCGGTCACGCTGTCACACACGTTCCACGACCCACGACCAATTTCTGAGTTTTACTACCTTTTGCGGTTGCATTTTTTGCTGTCTGGCACCCGCTGGATTTAGACTGAATCATCCATCCGCCCGGCTGGAGACCCTACTATGAGCGCCAGCGAGGAGTTCCAGGGCTGGCTCAACGAGCAGCTGCGCCAGCTGAACACAGACGAGGGGGTTTTTGGCTCCTACATTGTGGGCATCCTCGATGGCGAGGAGTCGGAAGAGGAGAAGGCGGAGGCCCTCGAGGGAATTCTCAGTGAAACCGGAGTGAGTTCTTCCGCCTTGGCCATGAATCCAAGCCTGCTAATTGCCGTCTTTCGCCCGCACTAACAACAGTCTGCCAACATTGATGAGCTGGTGGCCACCATAATGCAGAAATGGCTCCACAGCCATCCAGGTAACGACGAGCCGCCCAAGAAGGGCCTGGACATTGATGTGAACGGCCAGCTGGCCAAGCTGCTGGCCGCACAGAAGCTGCAGCAACCCGCCGCCAAAGAGCGTGAATACACCGAGGAGGAGCGCCGCATCAAGCAGCAGATTCTGGCGCAGTATTCAGAGGTTTTACACCCCACTCAAATCCGAAACGAATCCGTGCCACATGTAAATGCTTGTGCCTTTCAGACTGCCGTTCCTGGGGATGACGATGAGCACTCGGAGCCGGAGAGCGAGGATGACAGCGGCGCTGTGGCCCGCAACACAAACAAGTCCGATGTCCAGGCCTTGGCCAAGGAGAAGCGGGAGCAGGCGCGCCAGGACAGTGCGGCCAAGAAGCTTAAGGACAAGGAGGATCGCGAGAAGCAGAAGCAGCTGCGCGAGGAGAAGAAGGAGAAGCGCAAGACCGTCAAGGGAGAGCGCCGTCGGTAGCCCGCCCACAATCCGAGCCTCGAAATCAGCAGTAGCAGCAGCATCAGCAGGGAGGTGGGGGTGTGGTGTGTAGTAGCCCCCGCTAGATACTATACATATATCTGATATATCTGTACATTATATATATATACACTAACCGACTTTTTGTGACTTTGTGTTTGCAATTGAAACGCCAAAGTTTGGAATGGATATTTTTAAAATTTCTTTTCTTTTTGTGGTTGTCTTGCCATTAATTAACTAAATTAAATTTAAACTTGTCTTAAAGTTGCAGCCTCCAGACAGACGCCTGGCAACTAACTTGGCCAACTGTTTACGATTAATCTCGGCTAAGAATCTCCCGAGCTATACTATGTATATACTGTAGTATGTTTAGTAGGATTATTTTGTGTTATTTATGGATCCGTTTCATCGGTATGTTCTTGGCCATCGTCCTCGTCCTCGGCTTCTTCTTCATCCTCGTCCTCCTCCTCGTCGAGATCTGGCACTGGCTCTGACTCTGGCTCTAGCTCGGGCTCCGGCTCGTCCTCGGCCTCCTCCTCCTCATCATCATCCGGATCATCCTTATCCTGCTCCGCCAGCAGCTGCTCGGATACCTTCATGATGCCCTCCAGATCGTGCAGCTTGAACCGTCGATTGTTGGGATCCAAGCAGTTGGCCTTCACCTCCAAGTAGTCGCCAATCTGCTGCTCATCCCAGCTGGAGTACTGCATGGACGGAGATCCACAAAGGAAATGCGAGAGATTACATCGGCAACTATATAATCAGCAGAGACAGAGACTTACCACCGAGCTGGAGGTGAATAGCAGCTGCTCCTCGCCGGGCTCCGACTTGACTCTGAGAAACTTTTGCAAGAGGCTCGCCTGCACATCCTTGCGCCACAGGCACAGGCGAGTGTTCTTCATCCAGTCCTTGTCCAGCAGATCGGCCTTCTTCATCAGCAGATCCACCTGGTGCAGCTTCACGAACTGCTTCTTGGGGGGCAGACTCTGCGGCCGCTTCGAGGTGCTGGCCAGCGGATACTCAAAGTCCTCATCGCTGGGATCCGTTTCTAGGTCATCGTCATCGTCGTTCTCGTCGGAGTCGTCATCGCTGTCCAACTTCGAGTGGCGACGCTTGGCCTTCGAGGCTGTTCCAGCTGCCTTTCGCTTGCGGCTGCCCTCACTGCCACCTGCTCCGCCAGCGCCAGCGCCAGCACCTGCTGCACCACTTGAACCGCCAGCAACGGCAAGGCCGATGCGCGGCTGCTTTGGTGGCCGCTTCTTGGTGGGACGCCAGTCCTCCTCCGAATCGGAATCGTCGTCCGGACTGTAGTCCTCCTCTTCGTCGCTCTCCACAAATGTGGTGGTCACCAGCTCGGTGCGACTTCGCATTCTTTTGCGCCCACTGCCCACTGGATTTTCTCTATCCTCTGATGCTCTGTTGCTGTTGCTCCTGTTGCCGAGGTCGAGGTTTTTTTGAGGTTTTGAGCTTAAGTCCTGCGCTCCTGCTGCTTCGGTTGCTGCTGTTGCTGCCACTGCCACTTCTGCTGCTGAATGCGTCCCAAAGCTGAATGAAAATTTTATTGTTGACTCCGAAAAAAGCTAATTTCCACACACACACAAGCAAGCATATTGGGGGCCCACACGGAGTCGCAAGGCTCTCTCCTTGGATTCCTTCGTGTATCCTTTGGGGGTGCTTTTGATTTTAAGCTTTTCCACTCTCTTTCTATTGCTCTCTCTATCTCAGGCTTTTTTCGCGCGCTCACAGGGTTGCATTTCGTGGGGCACAGGGTTGTATTTGACGCGCACCAGGACGGACGCCTGGAGCACAGTCGCTTGGCATTTTTACTACCGTTATCATTTAATATGATTTTTACTCCTCTTTGTTCTCAATTATAAAATTATATTTTTTATATTTTTATTTATATTTTATTTATTATTATTACTTTATTATTTTTTACTATTATTATTATTTTTTATTATTATTTATTATTTTTATTATTATTATTATTTATATTATTTTTATAATAATTTATTATTTTATACTTTTTCGGCGAAAGAAAAACAAGCGACTTTGGTTTCTTATTTGCTTTTAGAATATATATTTATTTATTTTATTTAAACATTTACGTAAAGCTGGACATTGGAGCACACATACACTAAGAGTCTACTTATTGAATTTCTACTTTCCTCGCTGACGTATTCTCTATGCAAATTTCTAATTTCATTTTTACTCATGACTCGGTTCGTCTACATCTACTGCACAAGCTGCTGCTGCACTTAATCATCTATTCGGAATGGTCTTCATCTGCATCCATCCGTCTAATCCATCCCTTAGACCTGCAAACGCTATACACGCGTGGGCGTCCCATAGATGGATCCAGCTCCGAGTCCGCTGCCGGCGTTGCTACGCCTCTGGGCGAGCGGCGAGGCTGGCTGGATGGCCGCCGGTCCGTTGTTGTTGTTCAGCAGGCGACGCTGCTGACTGTCCGAGTAGGCGCGCTCTACAATTGTTGGAGGATCTCAGTATACAGATACATATATGTATATACCGATATATCTCCCGATCTTGTCTCATGCACTATGGAGGGTGTGAGGGAGTTTGTCTGTATTTCTGCTCGTGTTCTCTCTGTGTGTGAAGCATGCACTTTTCTTACATTTTTTGTTCTCTCTCTCTCGCTCTTGTTTTACTTTACCACATATTTTCCGATTCTTCTTTAAATTGTTAACATGCAAAAAGGAAAATTACAAAAAAAAAATGTTTATTTATTTATTCGATAAGGCTGGATTTGAATATGGGTGCTAGGGGTTATCTGCTTGAAATGATTATGTGCAATGATTTGTTTTAAAGCTGATGGAACGTCCCCCGAAGTATATTCACGAAGCAATGTTCATGGCAGTGGCAACCGTGGGGCACTGCTGCATGTCGCGCGATAAACGTGTCGACATTTTTCTCGACATTTTTCTCTTCTCTCTTGAAGACTCGCAGGTTGCTAGTCGAATTTAATTTGGGCAGACTGTAGAATTTATTTTGCTATTCACAGCCACTTGAGAAAATAAAACTTTGCGCCGAGGGGCACTGCTGCATAACGCGTGACATGTGTAACCGAAATTTTGTAAAAATTCTCTAGACTCGCAGGTTGCTAGACTTTGCAGGGATAATTTAATTTTGGTAGACTGTAGAATTTTGCTACATGACGCGCGATAAGAAGAGCCGAAACTTTGTAAAAAAAATGTCCCTTTATTTTTCCAGGCTTGCGGATTGGCTCGCCTTTGTAGGTAGAATATTATTTCTGATTCTGCGACCGAAGCCACGCGCGTGACGTCTCATAAAAATTTAGATAGATAAATCAATTTTGAATATAATTCCATGTTAGCCATGCTTTTCCCCATTCCCCCTTCAGATACCAGAAGCCCAAAGAAACATATAAAGGAGAGAATAAATGCCACCTGGTTGCTATGCCAAGTTATATACCCAGAATCCTAGCGAAATGCGCAATGGAATGATGTCTGTTCCGTGTTGTGTGATGCTTATAATGGTAAATCATAATTAAAAGTGGAAATCAAAACCAAAGTGAAAGGCATGCCAGATGAGGGGGAGTTATGAGAGGAGTGCAATCAGAGCCATGTGGCGATGGGAAAACCGATGCACCTACCTCGAAACTTCAGGCCCTGGGCCTCGTTGATGATGGCCGCCAGTGCCGGATGCTGGTATCGCTCCCGGAATATGGCCGAACCATTGGTGTTTCCATTCAACGCAGCACCATTTCCATTGGCATTGCCATGGAGGTGCTGCTGTCTGTTGCTGTTGCTGCATCATCAGAAGTTTGTGCTGCGGCGTATGCTGGGGCGTTAGTGATGTGGGGGGCGTGGCATTGCCGTTCTTGTAGTAACGATTTTGGTTGGGATCGTAGGAGGCCTGCTGGTGCTGCTGTGGCTGCAGCTGCTGTTCGTGATTCTGATTCAAGCGATTGGCCATCTTGATGGAGGCGCAGCGCTCCTCCTCGTTGTTGCGCATCTTGAGGATGCGCTGATCCTGCACCGAGTACCGCGATCCGTTCAGGGCATTCAGCTGGTTGAGATTGCTGACCTGGCTGCTCAGCTTCTTGCCCCGAAAGCTGCCCGCGGGCGAGCCATTGTTCAGCAGAGTGCCGCGCGAGGAGCTGCCGTTCGTCTCGGTGCTGTCGCGCGATGCCTCGCGGTAGCTGGACGGACGATGCGTGGACGGTGGCGTATCCAAGCCGCTGTCATGGGCCGAGCAGTCCAGTTCTATTTTGCTGGGTGCACAGCCGCCGCCGCCGCCGCTGCCTCCACCCGTGGGTAGCATGGGTTGAACTGAAAACGGACCAAAGATTAGTGGGGAACTTGCGGAAAAGAAGACCATTGGACTCACCGGAGTGCCGCATATCGGTGGGCGCTCGGGGCTTGCGGTACAGCCAGTCCCTGTCCAGCTCGTTGCCATTATCCGGAGTGGCGCTGACGCCGCGGAAGAGTCTGGGACGTCGGAGTTGGACCTCCGCCTCCTCGGTCTCCTCGTCGACCACCTGATTGCTGCCGAAGCTGCTGTTGATGAAGATGCGCCTGGGCGAGCCATACAGGGCTCCGCCCTGCGTGAAGCTGCTCTGGGCGGAGGCATAGCCGTTGGAGTAGCGGCTGAGATTCGCATTGCTGTGGTGGGGTATCTTCTGGGGCGTCGAGTGGTTCGTGCTGATGCCGCTCAAGTGGTGGTTGTGGTTTTCGTTGTTCAGGGCGCTCAGATCCGGCACCGAATCGGAGAAGAGGAAGGGATTGGCGCCGCCATAGCCGTTCAGGCTGCCAGCTCCGATCTTGTGACGTGCCAGGCCGCCACCCGTTCCGTTCGTCATCAGCCAATCGTCCAGGGCACTCGAGTAGGTGCCGCCCAAGCCAAAGTGCTGGAACTGCAGCGAGGCATGCGACACGGGGGCAGCCAGCGAGGCTCTCGACCGGGGTCCCTGGGCAATCTTCAGGGCTCGTCGTCGCTCCTTGGAGGTCATAGTGCATTCCTAAAGCGATTTTTAGATAGTTTTTTAATCGGACTTGTGTTTTATTCATGGGTTTACATACCTCCAAAAGCTCGAACCAGTCCTCGAGGCCATCGTCGCAGCGCAACAGCACACGACCCTCGCGTCCCAGCAACAGTCCAATGGCGCTGTACGAGCGCCGATTCAGCCACTCCACCTTCTCGACATCCACCAGCTTGACCTGAGGAAAAACCCCAAAATGAAAGAACAATGAAAAATCGTTAGATAATCAAGTTAAAGGTTAAAACTAAAAGAGTTGTTTCGCTTTACCCCACTCCACGCAGTGGGGGTCTGAGAGCATTAATTTACAATAGAATTACTCGTGCGGGTGTGAATGGGGTCGGGGGTTAAAGACAGTTAAAGGGACTTTTCCGATAAGTTTATTTGAGTATGAAAAATAATTTAATAGTAGAGTTTAGAAGAGATTTTAGCTATAGAATAGAATCGCTAAGCAAATAGAGGCTTTAGTTTTTAATTTCCTGCACATAATTACTAAAAGTTCTTGCATTTTTGAATGGGCCCACGTGCCCACGCATTTTAGCTATGCCTGCCAGTGAAGTTATGTATAGGCTTCCAGACTCCCAGTCGCTTTCTTCCAGTGTGGCTTAGCAGTGAAGGATTATGTAAATCTTTGGAATTTCTACCACAAAACTTTTCCTCTGTCCAAGCACTTTCCCATTTTCCCCACATTTCCTTAGTAAAATCTCTGGTATAAATTGCAGCTCAATTATTTATAGGACCAAGAACTTTATGCCCTAACAACTTTTGCCGCTCAAACAATGCAACAATTAAGTGTCGCTCTCCTTTCTTTTCTTTTTCTTTTTCCTTTTTTTTTTTTCAAATTTTGCAACTCGGTTAAAAGTCATTAGGCCATGAGGCCTGCTGTGTCTCTCTCCCTACCTTGGGAGCAACTTTTTTTTAGCATGTAGAACAAACTTTTTATTGAACTTATTTTTATGCTTTTTATGAGTTAAACTTAAAGTTTTCCACTCTTGATGTTCTACCGAGTATTATGGCCAAGAACTATGCGGAGGCCATTAGGCAAATATGTCAGCAGCAGCAGAAGCAGCAGCAGCATCTGAGGAAGCAGCAGCAGGCAGCAGCAGCGTGTGGCAATTAGCCAAGTTATGCGGCCTCTGTAAGTTCTCCCCTCTTCTCTTTCTTTTAGTATTTCTTTGCGCTTGCTTCTCTTTTTCTCTCCTCTTCTAATGGCCAACATAATTAAGTTCTTTAAGCACTATAGCAAACGGGGAGGGAGGCGGTTCTGTCCGGGGGCCTGGTCACTTTTTTATGATGGAATATGGCATCAAGTTTGGGGCCAAAACGTTTGCTCTTTCGAGTGATTCGTGGGCTTTGTTCATCATGTCACGATCAAAAGGGATCGAAGTGGGCGCTCACTTCGGGGGAGTAATATCCCAAAGAATTTGGAATGTGTGGGCGCAAACATTCAACAGATACATCAAAATATAATATTTATGATATTCTAAAACTTACAGCAACTTTTGATTGGTGTGAGAGAACGTTAAAAATAAACCCGAAGACAGGAAAATTAAAGACGGAAAATTAGTGGAAAGTGCCCTCTATGCAGGGAAAGATTATTAAAGATTTTAAAGATTA